CTGTGAAACATTGCTGATGGCCCTTCCCTGGTCCCTGAGTATATCCCAGAACATATCGTGCTGGGACACCCCTGATCTGGATGACACTGTCACTTCTGGATTTTGGGATGCCAGAGGGTACTGTTTTGGGACATCTTTGTACCTTTACTGAAGAAAGAAGCTTTCAGCAGAGAATATTGGTGTGAGACGGACTAATTAGTCTGAGGACTGGGTCCTGTGCTCTGCTGCTCCCCATGGTCTAGTGAGTGTGAAAAGCAGCACATATATCTGGATGTAGCTCAAATGTCAGTTTTACTTTACAGTTCGTATCAGTAGTCAACATCATGCCTGTAGCTCAGCCCCACAGCTGTCACACCAAGGGTGTCATATGAGACAAACCCTTCCTTTGAGCTACTTCATCTTATTTGTAAAAAAAAGTGTATTTCTAAAGATCTGTCTAACGTGGCTCACTGGCCAAACAGTTTTGTTTGTCAAGTAGTCTCCACCATCTAAGCAATCTTTAAGACAGAATAATTCCACTTCTTAACCTCACTGGTATCAATGTTTTGAACCGCTACACAAATGCCATTTTTTCCTGGCTCAGAACCATATGAGTTGGGCCAGGGAAGTCAAGATCCTTAATTGCCAGGAGCAGGAAAAGCTGCACATAGCGGAAGGCTCTTGCAGCAAGAGCTGGACCCTTTCCCCAGGAGGACAGGAACCTGCTCGCTCCCAAGAAGGGCCCAGGGACTATACTTGAGCTGGCTGCCTTGCCACGTGCATCCCAAATCCCCAGGTTGTGCCTCGTCTCAGAGGTGCCATCCAAAGCCAGTCAGCTGTTCATGTAGTAGCTGACATTAGGACAAGATTAATGACATCTGAAGCCTGGGCAAAATCTACACACGGTGCAGTTACCTGTAACTAAAAAGTGCCTAGCCTCACAAACGCAGCAATAGCCATCCAAGAGGAATGCTCTTCTTTATTTAAAGAAATGTGCTTCAGAGCAAAGGCATTTAAAGAAAAAAACCTGCTCATGATCCCTCCATAATATCCTTTCTCCTCCAGCAGGCATTAGCCAACCAGCCTCTCTCAGAGAGTAACACCACCAGGTTTATGACAGCTGCTCTGTTTTGCTTTAGCCAAATGCCAGTCCCCATCACATTAATTTTATCCTGGCTCCTCAAGAGCATTTAATGCTCTGAAAAAGCAGTAGGTCCATAAAATGGATATTAATAGAGCACTTAGCACATACATGTTTGTGATTAGCAGCTTAAAGATTAAGAACCCAAGTAAAACAAAACCTGGAGTAATTCCAGCCTTGAGTCAGGAAGTATTTTAGCACCGAAGCCATGTCATGCACCAAGGGTGCTGTTCTATAATTTTCCCCAAGAAATGGGGGTTGGAAATGAACATTAGCTAAATAAAAAAAAAGGAAAAAGTCAGGCATCATGATATTAATGAATAATTCCATCCCTGCAAGTTCAGAAACCATAATGCTGAAGTTGCTGTATCATCTTTTCTGTTGCCTCTCACAGGGCAACGCATCAAGCACAGACTAGATTTCACCTCTGATTGCTCGTTCAATTCAGATAATGTTATCAGTTTCTTTCTTTTGAAAAACGTAATAATCTGATGCAGTAGGTTTACTTTTATTAGAATCATAGAATCCCTAAGCGCCTCATCTACACATCTTTTAAATACTTCCAGGGATGGTGACTCAACCACTTCCCTGGGCAGCCTGTTCCAATGTTTAACCACTCTTTCAGTAAAGAAATTTTTGTCATGACATTTTGGCAATTTATGGTCATGATCATACCAAAAATATCATCTTCCCTTCAAGGAGACTTACATTGGAGAGGAAGATCCAGTGATCCCACAGATTTTAACCTTACTTATGGTGAGCAATGCTCCTAAATCAGCTGGCAATACAGTTGCCAAGTGACACAAGGTAACTCTTTTTACAAGGCCATCTTGCTGGCTTCATAGGAAAAATTACCTCCCACTGGTCTCAGCTGAGTACCAGGGTTGGGGGAAGGATGAGTGGGACATTAACTCCTTCCCCAGCAGTGATGTGGCCATGATAACACACCTATGCAGCTCCTCTTCCCTGCCTTTTGCTCCTTATCGCAGAGCTGCAAGCAACCCTCTTAAGCAAGATCTGGTCTTGTTCCAGTTGGAAAGCATTTTTATGTTCCTTCATATGAAAAAAAATAGTTCTCACAACAGACAAGTCTTTTTTCTTTAAAGATTTATGACAACATGAAATGTATTTTGTTTCTTCTCTTTTAATTTGCCTTGGTGCTAAAATGTTATTTTCCTCATTAAAAATTACGACATTTGGAAAAAAGTATATGCAGGAATAAACAGCATGTGGGATGTCAGCCTTGTATTTCACTGATAAAGAACTGCTGGGATGAGGGAGCACAACAGCGAGTCCTGCCCGGCAGAGAAACCAGCTGAGAGCAGTGAGCAGTGAAACACTTGCCTGCCATTCAGCCCCTCTGCGTCACCACCCCGGGTGGCCTCACAGCCCCGCTTTGGGGTCTCATGTTTATTTTCCATGCTAGCAGAAATGATCAAGGCATCTCACTGGGGCAAAACACAACACTTCTCCCAAAGACTGCTTAGGGAAGAAAGGAAATGTCACTTAATAACGGTAGTTACAAAGAAAGGAGAGAAAACCGTGGGCTGGTGGAAAACCCCCAAATTAAAGATTGGGCAGGGACGTGCTGATTCCAGCAGGTGAAGAAGGAGGGAGAAGGTGGCTGGGTTCTGGCAGGCATATGCCAAGCTAGAAACCACGCCACAGTGTGCCACCAGCAGTATTGCTGTGTCACCTCTCAGTCTTCTCTTTGCCTCTCACTAGATTTTTGACAGAGCTCCTCAGATTTGGATGCATTTCCATTTACAGCCTATTAATATCTCATCTCTATAAATTTGTTTATTTATTTCTCTAATTATTCTCTATTACTTAACACACACATACACCCCTCCATCCAGCTAGGTCTTTTCTCTAATTAGACATGGGTTTTCCTGATTTTATTTCTCAGTGATGAAATAATGATATTACATTTTCTGAAGATTCAGGTTGTTCTCTGAATTTGGGTGTTGTAACAGTTTGAGAGGAGCTCTGAGTCATGATTTAATAATGGGAAGAAAATAGTAAGCACTGTGTCTAAGGGAAAGGCATAACAGTAGCCATGAACTCTTATTAGGAATGAGACCTGTTTTTACAAGTGTGATCACTGGAATGCAATGAGGGAAACAGCCAAATCTCTGTGCTTTGATGTCTCCAGAAGAAGGACGTGTACCTTCTTAGATGGCTTAGGTTGGTCAAAGACAATTCCCTGGCTCCGTTGGAGGGACAATCTGGTAATGGCCCCTTGAAGCAGTACTGTATCACCCCGTGATCCTCTCTGGCCTTGGATCCCACACTTTTTCTAATTTAATGGGAAACAGTGGAAGTATTCTTCATTGTGCATGAACAGCGGTATGTTTAGTGAGGATTTAGCATAATGTTTCCCTGAGTCTGGTGGGGAGAATTTTCTGATTATCAAACTGTGAACTGTCAGTGGCATAATTTTCCTAAGCACTCAGGGAGTAGTGTTCTTACGGTATTTACATGCCTGGAGATGCAGAGAGCACTGCCAATACCTACTGGTGCCAAAAGTGGTTAGAAAACAAATGACTGATTTCCAGAACTGGATAATTTGGAAATATCGTAATGTGCCTTTCTGCATCTTTAAGCATATCTTTTAAAGCCTGATGCCAGGTGACTTCAGCACCTAATCCTGCTGTCAGAAGTACTTCAGTCAGTTAGGAACTGCTGTGAGCCATGTGCAGGGACAACAAAAATGGGGCTATGAGGCAAAGTCTTCAACTCCGCTCGCTGCCCAGGACTAGTCATTTCAGCTTGCCATAACTCCCCGGGCTGCCAGCAGCAGCAGCTCAGAAGATGTTCCAGTGGCAGCTAAGGTGGCTCTGCTGCAGGGAGAGACAAAGAGACACAATGCCCTACTCCATCAGGCACCCAGGCAGCACGTTGCCCTTGCTCCTGAGCCCCAGCCAGCTCCCACTGGGGCTTTTCTAAAAGACCTGGATGCTCCTCAACAATAAAATTAAACCCTTAACTCATTTAGTTGCCTTTCCTTCTCTATTTTTCCTTAACTCATCTTCTGTGAAAATGTCAGTGACACCCACCGCTAGTTTTTCTTGCACGAGATTTGGCTCAAAGTTAGGCATATTCTCTGTTTATGTTTTGTACGTGTAGAACAAATAGCAAGCTGAGCCAGGGAAAGGACTCCCAGCAGTTTCCTGACAGCATACAGCACAGTAATATATCAATGAATCATTCAATCAACTAATAATAGCAGGTAAGAGAAAACCAGAAAGACCCACTCACTCTTACGTGTTCTGCAAAATTAAAAGCTAATTCATAAGAACTAGTCTATGGAATTCTGTCCCGTGTTCTTGAAATCTCTATATGCTGTAAATATCATGCATAGTGAATGATGATATGAACATTTGCCTCATCCTTTAAAGGCAAATGTTCAATTTAAATCAAAGAACTCTTGGCTTTTTTTTTTCTTAAAGATAAGCAATAATTTATTTCTCTTTCATCTTCACAATTATCACATACTGCCCAGCTACATGACCAATGCCACTACATAACACAGGAGAATTTCCCACCTACACTTTACTTGGACAAATACAATTGCAATTTACAGATTAAATGTACTGTACAATGTGTAGTTGGAAAAATGTCATTCTTATCTATACGATGAGATGTGGCATATGATTTATAAAGAGATGCAATCTAAGATGTAAAACTTTAAAACTTGTTAAGTCAAGGATACAGTATAAAGCATTTTGGTTTGGTATTGTACTGTTACTAAAGTAGAAAAAAGAAAACTAGAGAAATAAATCCAGATCTTAACTTACAGGATATGTATTAGGTTAAGAAATTAATTGGCTTCTCCACTTTTTTTGTTTTGCTTTTCTTTTTCTTTTTTTTTCTACAAATGAATAATATGAATATATTGCAGGATAAAGAAAGACTGCCAGATAAAGAAGGTACCGTTATATGAAAAACAAATGAAAAATTACCAGGTAATTTTGCTTACAAAAAAGGTCAAACTATAAACAGTCACAAAATATATAAAAATGCCACATTGAACGAGGCAATCGTACTCTACCTAAACTGGTAGTATACTCTCTGAAAGAAGTTGCGTTCATACAGTAGTAACTGATAAAAAGGCATTGTGCACTCTTGTGCCATCTGGAGATTTAGCACCGTGTGTCATCAGTTCTTGGATTGTCATCCAGTTGTCCAAGATTTTCTTGTTTCTCTTTTTCATCATCTTTTTGTGACTCAGTTCAATAATGTTAATCTCCTTTTTGCCCTCGCTGCCACTCTGCGGACTTTCCTTAAGACATTCCAGCCTGCTCCTCATCATGAACTCCCGCCTCCTCCTCTGCTCCTTAGCTCGCACCAAATGCTGCTTCCGCTCTTCTTTGCTCCAGTAGCGACCCATCTTCATCTCACTCATCGTATCATCATCTGTCGTCATCCCACTGCGCTCCTCTTTAATTTTTAAGGCACGTTCCTTCAGGATTCTGTCTCGAACTGGTCTCTTTGTGATGTACCTCGTCCCATCACTCCTGATTTTCACTTTCCATTCCATCTTGGGCTCCGCACACTTCTGTGAGTCTTTGCACATGCTCACCAGGCTGAGCTGGCTTTGGGCGTACTCCACAGCAGACTTCTGCTGGATCAGTTGCATATAGCTTTGATAATGCTTTGCATGAGCAGGTATATTCCCATACCTGTAAGAGGAGCTGTGATATGGAGACAGGTAGGGAATGTGCTCGCTGCTCTGCTTTTCCTGGTCTGTGAATTTGCTGCTTTCTGATGCCAGCACTGCGTCCTCAGCAGCACTGTTTTGCTCAGTGGGTTTGGTTTTGGCTGAGGTTGTCTCCCTGTTGCTTTGTCCTGAGGATGACTGATTAGCCACGATTGTGCTCCTCAGGTTTTTCCTGTTGGTTATGCTGATCATCCTCTGGAGAGAGTTATCAGGGGATCGCTCCACAGTCAGTGGAGTGCTCCTGCAACTTTCGGCGGTGTTGTAGGCGCTGGAGCTGTCCTTGTCAGACTTCTCAGGGTGCTCCATGATGTCATCCAGTTTGCCTCTTTGTACATCTATGCTGGTGTTATAATTCCTGAACCCTTCGTCATGTAAAGCCCAAATGTCTCCGTACTGATCCCTCACCTTTTGGAGCCGGTGAGCTTGCATAATATTCTGACATTCGAGTTCAATGTTTCTCAGTTCCTCATTGAGTAGCTGCAGCTCATGCTCCACTCCATCTTGCTCTCTTCTGTTGCACTCTATCGTGCTGCTCGAGTAATACAGGTCATACTCCCCGTGGTTTCGAATCTTGCACTTCAGTTCCAACAGCTGCCGAAACCTTTCACATTCCTCCTCTGGGTTTCCTATGAAATCAGACTCAATGTATTCCCCAGACACAAAGCTTTCATTGCATTGGAGCTCAACACTTCCTAACGTATCTTGGCTGTGGCCCAGCTCCCGTTTGCTCTGCAGGGTAGCGCTGTTCTGCTCCTCAGGTGCATTTTCTTGCTCCGAGCTCTCGTCATTACGCAGACTTTCATCTGTAGGTCCCACCCCACTGTCCTTCTCATGATTGTTGGATGATGAGGTTGCAGTGTCTGTAGTGCCATCCTCCTCTTCATGTTTCTTTGGCTAAAAAAACAAGCAAACCAAAATGATTATCAAATGCAGACCATATTACATGAGAATATTTTCCAGCTCTGTTTTGCTTAAACAGCTGGGATCTGATTTAAGCCGAATTAAAACAGATCACTAAACAGCAGTCCTACTGCTCATAGCTTTTAAACATTTCTGAGAGTCATGCTGTGGTGGCCATACTGAGTGAAGTAGATGAATTACAGCACTAGTGACATATCTTCTGAAGTCCGGAAAGAAATATTTCCCTCTCTAGCTAAGCCATTTCTTTGCAGTGCTTAAAGATAATGATCACCAGATGGTGTACTGTTTTTGATTCTGGATTATGGCCAGAGTCTGGTGGAGCTGAAATCTTCTCAAACTTGGGAAAAAGCTTCAGTACTGGTATCACTTCAAAAAAATAGAGCAAGCATCCAATCAAACAATGACTAGTACAATCTGAAAGGGTGCAAAGACTACTTTCATCAGTGGGTTGTTTGGTTTTTTTACCAGTGAACTCCTTGTTTGCTCCATGGAGATGGGCAGGGTTGAATCCCGCAGAGGGCTAGCCTGTTCCACTACACCCTCCACGGCCCTCTGTCACACTTCTTGTTTTCAGTAGTCTTTTTCCGAAAGACTGTTCATTTTGAATTCTAGGATTTTGCTCAAGTAGACCTCTCTCTGTTGGATCCCTGGAGACCATTTTTGTTCCCTAGTTAGAGTTTATATTCCTTAGAAATAAAACCAGCCTTTTACCATTAAGCGTAGAACAACACTGAGTGCTCGCCATGGGCATAATGTCAAACTTTTATAGACTGTTGTTTTTTAATTCACACTCCACTCATTGTACCTAACCTATTTATATTCTCAACCTATTTATATTTGCAAAGAATGTGAGATAATACCTCTCTGAAGAGACTTTTTATTTTTCAAACTGGATAAGCAAAGAATTCCCCCCAATTCCCCTTACAGAGCAATCATGCAGAGTGCAATTTATATGGCCTGTTCACCAAGTATCTAAATGTACATAGTACCAACCAAGCGCCGTTTCTCTTTTAGGAGGTATAATTGCATAATTATATATAATGGTAGTAATAATCACGGGAGAAAAAAGGTACAGTGCACCCAGTGAAAGGAAACAAACTCAAAGAGGCCACAGAGACCAATTCCCTTTTTCTCTACTTTGACAGACAGTAAAACAGGATGAAAATGTGTCTCCTATCTCCTGTCTCATTCTTTCTCCTCTCTTCATGATCCCACACCCTTCAACTGGTTTCCTTTCTGCAATTGTTAGGAAAAAATAATGGCCTAGTCTCAGAAAAACAAAAATAACCTCCACCCCCCAAATGCAACGTAATAGTGGAATAAAATAAATACTGAAAGGAACACAACACCAGGAGAATTCAGTGTCTGTGATAGACCAGTTAAAAATCTCTGAAAAGATGCTTTAGCAATTTGTTGTCAGACAAGACTTGCAAAATCGTAGCATACCTTTTACACTCATCCTGTTGCACATACAACGTGCAGCTGGTAATAAAATGCACAATATGTCTGTAACTCTCATGTAGCTTTGGCAGCCACGCTGGCAATGTGCCGATTACTATCTCTCACCTTCCCCAAACAGGGGGAAAGTCTCCCCTTGAATTTAAACGTCATGGGACAGAATGTATTCAGTGTTGTTCAAGGGATCATGCAAAGGTTCAATGCTTCTTGATGTTGTAGTGTCAGAATTTTCTAGAAACTAGATTTTGAAACTGCAAGGGACAAAGGCAGACTTTCATGAAAATTCTGCAAGTGTTAAGAATTCAATGGTACGTATTTTCCTGATCTGAGATCCTCTCAGATCTTTCTACTTATCTGCTTAAAAAACAAGGGTATCTTGTTGTCACAGGAAGAAGCAATATGAACCGTAGTACCAATAACACTCTAAATAACTAACTATTGCAGAATTGTTCTATAATTATAATTTATCTGTTCTTTCTTTCCTCAGCTTATGCATTGCTGTGAAGGCGTATAAAGTATATTGGAAGATTTTTTTGTTAAGGCTCTTGTTATATTTTTCCAAAGTGGCTGCAACACTTTAGTTCCGTTTTCAGGAGTAGCTGGAGAAGTGGTGGGAATGCAATGTCTTCCCACATCACCTGTTTTTTAGGAGTTCCAAATGTCATATTTTACACAGAGAAAAAACCCAATGTCTAGAGAATTCTTCATGAAAACCAAGAGTAACCAGAAAGAAGAGCATCCCAACCAGCCAAGTGGTCAGGGCATTCACCGGGAATGCTGGAGATTTAGGTTTAATTTCGTATTTTTCTAGTTTACCTCCTCCAGGTGAGTGCTGCTACATAAGCCATTCTGGTCCCTTCTCTCACCTGCTTTGGAGCTGTTCCAGCTTCTAGTGACCTCTTCTGCCCCCAGACTTTTCAGCAGAGAAGTGACTCTAGTCTGGGTCACCTACACTGCACTCGAGCCACTGCCCTGTGTAACCCATGCTTCTCACTGCTCTGGAAAATAATTACTGACACAAGGGAGAACAGCTCCCCCAGACACTGGGAGGGCTGTGCTGCAGAACAGCCAGCAATTTGGGTGCCCACCCAAATGCAGGGCTCCATCCACACTAGCAAACGAGGAAGGCCAGGATCTGCTTGCTGACCCTGAGGGTGAGCGATGTAGCACAGCTTGCATCCATATGACTAAACTCATCTTACCCCTTAAAGAGGGTTTATCCATACTGTGTTAGCACTAGCACAGTTATACAGCTTACAGGAGCTGAGCTCCATGATGTCTCCAGCATGGTGCTACACCACCAAAGCATATATTTGAGCATTTCTGAAAAACCCCTTAATGTATCCATTTGTCTAAGTGTTGAAACAGACTTTACAGCTTGGGCCCACGCAATCAACACTTTCAGAATTAGTGACTCTTGTTTTCCACACCACTTTTACCAAAAATTTAAACTTTGGTCCTTCAATTTCCACTTGATTTAGACTGAGTGAATATAATACACTGCCATCGACTCAAGTTACACTATCCATAATTAACACACACACAAAAGATGTAAAAAAAGCAAACCCCATCTTTCCAGTCTAACAGAAATCAGATGGGTGGGATTGATTTCACCAAATCTAAGTGTCTATAGTACAGGCACCTGAATGTCAGGTGGTCACTTCGGGTTCCCCTCCTTGTCAGGAAGAAATGTGCAGACTGAGCAGTCTTTTACAATATGAGATTATTTTAATTTTATTTTGAAAGGTAGCAAGACTAATTCCAGGTTAAGTCCCTTCTGAAAAACAAGAGATAGTCTCCAATTGTCAGTGCGTTGCTCTTGTCAGTGTTATCTATTATCTATTCCAAACAAAGTGTTTGTTTTCAAACGTACGTTGTCAATCTCTTTTACAATTACTTCTGTTTGAAATACCAAAGGGCTCCTTAGGCCTCATCTTTGCAGTGAGAACTCAGATAATGAGAAGGCAAACCTGGCGGTGCATACAATCAAGCAATAAATGAACCTCAAAAGATTCTGCATTTCAGCTCCAGCAAGCATTCATGCCTATAAAATGGCTAATCTTGCAGGAATACAGGCACTGTTCTATTCTCATTTTACAACCTATGATGTATATTGGGACTCAAAACCCAGGCTGCTAAAGTTTGAAGGCAGTGAGATTCAGTCAAAGGTTTTAATAAATGTAGCCGCTGGGATCTCCAGTCAGTCTGACAGTGAGAGGGAGACTGACCATAGTGAGAGGAATCTCCGGTGGCAGGCTAACCTCGAGGTACTCCAGCCACGAGGGAAGATTGAGATTGATTTCAGTGGTTCACTAAAAGGGAAAATGCTCTTCTGCAAACAATGCTGTTCTTTTAAAATACGCCTCTCTCAAAAAAGAATTTCCCCCAGATATTTTCACTGCATTTCAGCTTTGAATGAACTCGAATTAATTTTTTTATCCAATTCTTTCTCTTCTTAATAGGTTTTGATATATTCCATGATACCGATAAGAGTTTCTGCATGGCGAATGTATGGTATTCTTCTGAAAGTTATCTCTGCTGCACAATGAACTGCGATGTTGTAAAGGGGAAGGAATACAGTGAGTTATAAAAACTGGAGAATTACATCTTTCCTCGAGGTTTATTGGACTATTCTATACAGAGAAGATACAATTCTTGATTAAATTCTGTAGAGTGGCTCAAAAACATACAGAAAAGACACAACTATCTACTTAATTCTTCTATTACAAACTGTACCAGATTTTTCTGTGACAGCTCATACTAAATGTTAAAATGGCATTCTGTAAAACAGACTTGTATTTGGAAGGATATTCTGCTATCGCATGTATTCATTCCTGCAGCTCGCAAGATTCATGATGACAGATGATTATGAAGCCAAAGGACTGTGTTTTGGTTCACAAAAATCAAGGCTGGTGTTAGAGCGAAATCTCCATGGCCAACCGAGGAGCTTGAAGATACTGAGCTTGGCCACTGGCAGCTGCAACGAATGCGTTTTCATTGCTCCGATGGATTATGTGATTCACCTCAGAAAACTGCTAGGTTTCCCAGCCTAACAAGGAGTAAAGAACCAGTTTTCCGACTTGCCGAGTCACTACTTAGAGTCTAGAGAGACAGCAGCTGTCACAAATTACTGATGCCCCATTACACACCAAACTGCATTTGGTTGATTCAATTACTCATCAAAAGGGCAAAGAAATGTCTGGCTGTCCTAGAATTACTTCGAGCAACTCAACGTCAGACACCGACAGAGCACAAGTGACCATAATTTTTTCAAGGGTAGGTCTCTTCTACAGTAACATAAAATCTCAACAGGGAAAAAAACCCCTATCCTTAGTATAAGATCCCAATGGGGAATAAGCAATCTCAATGGCTTCTGTGAAACCACTTCACAGAACACCGTTGTTCAATAATTAACACTATCCGCAACCCAAATTCAGTGAAAAAGCCAAAGCTTGACAAGAACTTGGGAGTGGAAGGTCACAACTGTGAAGTGATTTCAGAGGCCCCAACACGTATGAGGGGCTAGTATGGGTTTGTAGATAGACCTGCTCAAGAATTTCCTCCAGAAGTGGTGGTTTGTGTGAAAATATCACTATGCAAAGGAAATTGCTTTGTGAAGAACAAGTGTTCTTTCTGACAGGAAATCTTTTGCTATCTGAGATAAAATTTGTGGTTAAAAAAATAAACAAGATGCAAATATCAGTTCAAAGTAGCTAGCAATGCAGTAGTTAGCACATTTAACCTGGGAAACTGAGGCTTGGATCACTGCCTGGAAAAGAGGGTCGTAACTAAAAGGCCACTATATATCCTGTTGCAAGGCTCCCTTCACCTCTGACCCTGGAGTTATTCCACTTCGTGTAAATAATTAAATGCTTGTAAGATCAAGGATTTGTAAACTGATCTATCATATTCCAGATAATTGACTTAATTATTCTGTTAGTGACCCTGTCCTAATGAATATTTCATTTATGTACAGTGAATAGCTTTAATAGGAGCTATCACCTAGTCAATAGCCCAGCATCAAGGCTGGAGGGGAGGCGAGGAGGAAACAGGCTAGATGCACGTTCAGGCCCCGAATGTGGAATTTGAAGCCAGGTCTCCTGTTAGCCAAATAAGCTCCTGTTAGCCAGAAGAAGGAAGGCTTTCACAGTCTTTCTCCCTCTCTCCACTTCAAAGAAAAATGCCTCAGGCTCTGCTTTCGAGCAATTCAGAATGGGGAAAAAATTGTAAATCACAAATTTCTGTGGGTGGAAAAACAGTTTCTCCCCAGCTGTACATATACAAAAGCCAGGACATGAAATTGGATTTTATTTCCTTGGCTCCACACCGGTGTGCATGCTGACAGATCATCTGATTCAGGTGTGGATAAGGTCATTTATGCCTTCCACAATAAAGTACAACTGAGAAGACCCATCCCTTGATGAAACTGTATGGCTGGGGGTACACATGCATCTTTGCCATAGTCACAGTGCTTACAGCACATATGGGCAGGTAAAAGTCGGGATAGCAGCAAGCTGAGACTATGCTAACAATATGCTTATTTGTCTCCATTAACAAAACAAATGCCGAGTTGTGCGCTGTTGGTATAAGAAAAATACACTTGTATTACCAAAACACCTGTTGTTTATTTTAAACACCTCTTCCATCTTGTTCTGCAAGCTCTCTGGTGCAAGGGCTGGCTCATACCTCACATGCATACAACAAGAGGGACATCTATCTCAACTTGGAGCTCGAGGTGCCACACTGATACAATTCATTAAAAAAAAAAATTGACATAAAATACAACAACATAAACACCAAACACTTCAGAATTAAAGAAGGAAAGCAATATTATTCTGAGAGTTCAGAGAAAATGAGAAATCTGCGCTTATCACAGCCTCCTAAATTGTTTGCTTACTTGTGATACTGGGCCTAAGCATCTATTTTTCTCCTTTTCCTTACCTACAGCGTGCCGGAGTTCACAGCATTTTAGAGACAGAATTCTATCAGAGCCTTTGACTCCATTTTACAGCATACCATTTCATTCTCTATTAATAAAAAAGTATACCTAGCAAAATTTCAAATGATACGTTTAGTAGCAGTCCTACCTGCTCCACCTCGTTGGCTGTGTACTGCATCGCTTCATTATGCTGCTCTTCCAACATTTCCAAGTTTAACTCCTCTAAGAATTCATTCCTTTCATCATCCAGCCACCCTTCTTCCAGCTGCAAAGAATACATTAGTACATTATATTATGTTAGCAAGGACACATGCTAAAACAGGGTAAACCCAAATGGCAATGCTTGACTAGTTCTTTTTATCCTAATGATTCTCTTCAGAAAGCCAGGTGGTAGGAGTTCGCGTCTCAAAAAGAGAAGAAGAAAAAGAAGGATGAAAAAAATGGGACTCATGCCTTTTATCCTTTCTTGAAACAGTATGACTGATTTTCTCTCATAATGAAGGAGACTGCACAGCACAGACATTATTTCCTTTCAAAAGGTATGAAAGGCGCAGTGCATAATCCTGAAGCTGTCATGTTCATTACCGCCGAGAGCTCCTGTGCTGAAAGAGTGGCAATGTTACTAATAGGGCCAGGAGGCAACCGGGCTTTTTCCTCTAACAACCTCTGTCCCAGTGCTGTGCCCTGCTGCCGCCACCTCAATAGAAACCTTATGTTGCGTTTCTGTCACCGTTTTCCCATTGATCTTCCAGGTAAACAAACAAACAGAAGAGGGTGACAGAAAGATGCGGTGATTTGAATGGAGGTTATTTTTGTTCTTGCGGTGTGCCTGGAAGCAAGGCTTACCCGTTTGTTTGTTTTTTTCTCCAAGTGCAAAATAATACTTTGACATTTGGTGAACACAGTGTTGCAAAAGGACAGGAGGGGATGCTATGTTTTCTGTCAAGTGAGTATGTCCTCTTCCTGCACCCACTTTGCACCCTTCACATCTTTCTAAATGGATAAAACAGGCACCCCTGGCCTAAAATGCTATTCTTCCCATTTTGTTCGTTGTGCACATGTGTGCACGTGGAACACATCCATTTGTATCTGTAATCCCTTGCCAGATGGCACACTGCACTGAAAAGAAAAATATTGGTCAGTGGCACTCCTGGCTCTATAACGACGAGATCGTAGCAGAAGGGAAACACTTATTGTTTTGTCGCTGATGAAGGAATCAGGGGAAGAAGGTGACAAAAAGATGCTAAAAGGAAAAGTCTCAGCATTAGACAATTACAAGAGTACCAACTATTCATGTCCCAAGACAGCATAAGCAATGTAACATGGGCCAACATGTTCACCAGAAGAAGTACCACTGCCTCAAAGCCAGGAGAGCTCTGGCCACAGATGCCAGTCAGAAAAGTTACACGAAACCAGCAAGTAGTAGTTCAAAGCTACACAAGGAGTGATTGATGCTGTATGGTACTTCTAGCTGAATACTGGCAGGAAACCACTGTTTCCTTCACAGACTCTGATATGTTTTTGCCCATGCCAGTGAAATCTTTCCTCTTATAAAGAACATAAGCCTTTCACCATTTCCCTTGGCAAAGCCAGCCTCTAAAGCCATCCCCTTGAGATTAGAAGGAGGCTTTTTTTCTTGAGGACATGTAATTTTTGTGTTTGTCCTTAATGGGACTTCCAAACTATTCTCTGAAACACCTGGTACTGGCCACTAGTTTTGTTTACTTGTCTTGTTTGCTTTTTTTTCCCAAGGAAAGCATGGACACAGCCTTCCTCTACCATGAAGGATGCAATTGAATTTCCCTCATTTGAGGAAATTGCAGAGATTAACAAATCTGGAGGACAAAAGATGAATCTCACTTGGGCAAATCTGCTGCTTTGATCGTGGCAGACCCAGTACCTAACTAATGGGAATGCTTATGTTATGTTACAGCTTTTAGAATAAAAATAATGTATGGCTTAGTATACACGTGCACTACATACACTGTGTGCACATACACACATGTGAATGCACATGCCTGTGCCATCTGCTTACATATTAAACAGGTTGTGCGCTCCTCCGGTGCTCTGTTTCAAAACTTAATTATTCATCGGTATTCACTGCGCAAATAAATGGTCAGAGAAGGTTTTCTTCCCTGTTAGCGAATGAATGTGCTCAGCAGTCACCTTTCAAGATTGCAATACTGCCATTACCATTTTCTATCTAGAAATAAAAGCCTGCTTAATCCTGCTGTCTTTTACCAGAGTCAAAGCAGCACAACTACCAGAAATCAGTTTGTGGACAGCCTGATTTCTGACATACTACAGCTTTTTCTTCAGTTTTGTATGAATATGTTCTTAAAACACATAAATTAAACAAAAAAATCCCAACACCAAAGCCCCAAACCAAAACACACTTTTATAATTTGAAAGGAGCATCTGTATAGGAAGCTATATTGGTACAGCTAAGTAGTTCCTTAACTCATATTGATGTAACTTTTTCATGTTGACCAGTCTAAACAAATACAGAGAATTAACTTTCCCTGGGCATGTATTTTATAAGCAGGTGGGTTTCTGTTCCCTACTGAAAAACAAAATCTTAGTGAAAAATAGTAAGAATAATCTTGAAATAACTCTTCCAAAACTTCTGCAACTTCCAGTGAGGGCTACAATTTTGCAATAGAAACTGATGCATGGCTTTTTTTGCTGTACTATGTCACCAGTTTTATGGGAATTGTTTAGATTCCTGAAAAACATAAAGGAAATGAATGCTGAAATTGTGAATCTTTTATAACTACCGTATTCAAGTAAAGATTCCAAGTGGCACTGAATTACACTTACTCAATTTAATTTATACAGAGTATGCAGCTAGCGAGACTGAGAATATCAGATCAATAGCATGAGAGACAAATGGCAACATAACCAACTCTGAATTGTTGGCAGATGGAGAGAACAGTGACAATATAATGTCTTTTTGCTTTGCAATGGCCTATGAACAGAATATAAAGGGAAGTACAAACAGCACTCTTCTTCCACTCTACCTCTCCTAACATCTGCCCCCTGCAATGATATAAAAAATTCTTGGCATGGCAAGATTCTTGGCATTGGCATAATTTTATTTTTAAAACCACAAAAATGTTTCTAAAAGCTTTTGAAAATGCACCTCCCAAGATACAATTTGTAATGTACAAGCAGGTTTTTGTGACCAGGGTGCTTTGAAAACAATTAGATCCAGGTTTGCTGAATGGTACTGTAGTGAAAGTTCCAGAATTGGTACATAAATGAACAGTTTACATGCCTGCTTATAAATACATAGGATAAAAAGAGCCATCACCAATGACCAACTACAGCTTTGTGTAAGTTCATATAAATGACTGAGGTAAGTATGGGAAATTTATCCCCAGAACAAATAACAATCATCTAACGAGTAATACATAGTTTTCTAGTTCTACTTCATATTTTACTAATATCATATTAGTGCTGTCAGCTTTATTTGTATACCTGCTTACTCTGCCTGCTGGAAAGGAATTGCTTAGTATGGGGAAAACAAGCCCTAGTAATATCATGTTATTGTCTTTGTTGGCTAAACAGGGGCAAAGCTCTGCAATTATCTGTTTCCTCCTTTTGTCAGGAACTTTGGCATTCCTATTTCTCAGCAGTTCATTACTCACAGCGACACTGAATGTATGGTATAACCAGGGTTCTGGCTCAGTGCATCTATTTAGTCTAACCTGCATCTCCGGTCTTGCAACCAGCAACACAATTTTCTTGCATTCTTCACTGGAGAGCAATGCCACTGCCTCTTCCCGATTCTGGACATCTTGGCCATTTATCTAGAAAACAAATGAAAGTGGCACATAAGTTTCTATTTCCACAAAGCAACACACAATAAAGGGCAGATATCAGCTCATTTGTGCTGAATGTATGGACAATGAAACTCGCGCAAGGGGCTCATCTTCAGCCCCTCAGTGGTAAGTGCCTTCACTCAATTATGCGCTTACTGTAAGAGCTGTATCGATCGTTGAAGGATGGCGGACATCAGAGGAAGCCGTTATGTTCATAAATGTCCAACCTGCGCCCTGGTAACATACATCTAGCAACACAATTAACCAGCCCCTGACAGGTGACGTTCATCTTTCTCCGTTCAGAGTAATGGAAGTGTCACTCTGAGATAATAGTGCTGGTGGAAGCAAGACTGGTAATGCTACAGCTGAAATCAGTCACACTGTATGCTGGTAGAGAGCCAATTAGAGAGCTACAGTATTATCTCTCACCAGGCAATACTTATAGGCCACTGCTTCTTGCTGCTCCATTTAATCATTTCATATTTGTGTGGACAGCTTAGTATCCAGAATCACAGAAAACATATGTATCCCCCTTACAAGGGGATAATCAAAATAAAAGTGGTTCTCCAATGAGAACGTGCTTTTCTCGCTACCTTTCTCCTATGCTGTCACCCCATTAAAACAGCCATGTCCATGATTACATGGTAAGAAACACATTTGGCATTGTCCAAATCCTTTTATTGAGGGAATCAAATAGAAATCTTATTTTCCATGCGTATTTGGTTTTGCCCAACAAAAAATACTTGGTCTATTTGAAAATGGGTGAAAACAAAACTGGAAGACAGAAGGATCTGAATATCTGGGGGAAATAAAATCTTGTAAGGGTTTGATTTCAAAGTAGCAGGAACTTCCTGGTTGTAAAGTAAAGAGAAAGTTGCATTTCTGCACATATGTTTGGCCTGAAAGCCTTGACTCAAAAACACAGCTTTAATTCAGATCAAAGAAAACCCCCGTGTACCCTGATTATCTAACCAGCAATGAGTAAAATGTCTGAGACCCTTCAAAGCTTACATGATGGGATGCTTACAAAGCTTACAAGAAGGGATGGCTGTGGTCTGTGGGAGACCAGACAACCATTTGGTAACGCAGAGCTGCCCTAACCTGAAAAGCAGAGATGCAGCCACAGCGGTGCAGGAGCAGATCTCCAGGTTGTGCAAAACACCCCCAGCTGCGGTGGCTGCTCCGGTGATTCCTATCAGCTGAGCAACTGCCCCTCTCCAACCCTGGAGGCGGTGGCCCTGCTGGCCCCGCACAGCCTGGAGGTGCCCACCCCACACCAGCTGCACCATCATGGGGGACAAGCAGGACTTCAGCCTGCCCAATGGTATCTCACCCCCATGGACAGCACTTGTCAGCCTGGAGGTTCACAGCCAAAAATAGCAGAAGTTTAGGCAAGTCTTGGCAGGACTGTCCTTATAAAACCTTTCCCTTGACTTTGTAACATTTGATGTAAAATACTGAGGCTGTTCTCAGATGCTTAAGAAGACTGAGAAGGTGACAGGAGAGGTGTGACGTTTGTGAGAATGAGAAGGGGACAGTTTCAGCTTCAAAAACGTGAGGAAACCTGCTGTAATTTCATGAGAAATACATAAAACAGAGTGTATCCCCCCCATAGCCTTAACCGATGCCATCCGCCACCCACAGAAAATGCCCCCACGCTCAAGGATCCTGCTCTCTCCCAGCCTCAGTGTAATCCCCCCATAATGGCACTGTCACCTTCTATTTCTCTGAGTTATCTCATCAATAAGAGTAGATAGAGGGTCAATGTGTTTTCAGATATGAAAGTAAACCCCACATAACTCTCTGGGTGTTAACTTTAATGATCAAACTCATAGCTATATATCAGCACTGACATTAAAGTAATGCTCCAGTCTACAAAAGGATGGCAGAATTACCTATGCTTTCCTCTTGCCCCCGGAGTCTTTACTCACAATTGAAATGAATTTCGTTAGGAACTAGAGAACATTTGCTTGAACGGCTGTTGGCTCTCCACTTCACTCAGAAATTTTAGAAAGCAAGGAAAGGAGCAGAAAATGGACCTACCCTCTATTTCCTTATTTTGAAATCATAGAGTAGGAATGAAAGTTATTTCTACTTGGTCGAATAAACAAGTTTTTTTTCTGATTTTTGAAAGTTAAAAATATCATTATATCCTGTTTGCTTTCTTCAGTAGGTATTTTGTAGAAAGACGCAGAAGACAGTTCACTGACTTTTCCACTCCTAGCCGCACCCCATGATGTGATCCCATCACCCTGCCACCCCAAGTCCCACTGAGGGGCTCACTGCCCTCGCACCACAGTGTCCGTGTCTTCTGGAGGGGAACACCATCCTCTAAATGTTTTCACATTTCCAGCCACACAGAGAATAAACCAGCAGCCCCTGAGTGAGCCCTGACATTAAAATGTAACTTATTGTTTCCTCTCCAAAAGATGGGCCACTTTGGTAAGCCAGCTCGTAAACCCTGTTGTGTTAGCTAGACTCCCAAAGCTGATACCACGGTAAGAGATACAGCGACAGGTTTCAGCAAAGACATTTCCTGCAGAAATGAAAAAACATGGAGGGAAGGAACAGGCTGATCTTGCGACAACCTGAAAGCTCACGTGCCTAAATTAATGAAGGGCAATTACGGAACTGGTTACAGAAAAGTGACTTGTCACACCAGGAACTACTTCTGGGGCTTCAGTGAAAAAAGGTCAAAATACAAGGGAAATTGACTGAGAACCAGAACTAAAATGCTACAATACAGCAAAAACTTTCCAGTCTACTGATTTTTGGTAGCTGTTTTGTGATTTTGTCACTAGTGCAAAAACGTACTATTCCCTGCCAGCTGAAAATAGAAACCCACTGCCATTCTAGCTACTTCCCTCTCTGTACAGGTACACTGCCTGCCCTCCAGAGCCAGCAGCTAGCCACCCTCGCTCACAGGGCTATGTTGTATCACACAAACCTATCTTTGGGGCAGCTCCTTACATGAGTGGATCAATAGAAAGGAAGGGGGAAAAAAAAAGCCAAGATGGTGGATTAGAAAAGAACTCAGAAAAGCGATGTTTTATTGGTGGAGGGAAGAAAATATTAACAAAAGCTTAATGAATCCCCCCTCAAGTACATTCAAGATCATCCTTCACTAACAGTACATCTTTTGTATGAAAACTCTTACCATCTATGCTCAGCACGAGTGAGCTTTACCCAAATTTATGCGATCGCTGAATGATCAGTAAGTCTCTGACACTCATATTTATGTCTGCAGGTTCCCTGTTTAGAATGTGACACTGAGATGAACATAGGGGAAATGAGATTTGCTAATAAATATGGCAAAAAAAGACATGGGACATAAGGGCACAAGCCAGAACGAGTTTGTCATTCTCATTTTTCAGTACACGTACTCTAGCTCCTGGCTATTGTGTTAAAAAACAGACAGACATGGATTTTCTCATCGATCACAGTAACAAAGAGAACTACCTTCCCTCATTAACAGTCCACAGAGAAGAGGGCACTGCGCGTTTGTCTAAAGAAAGAGTTTAAGGAAGAGTCTATTGTCACATACTTGCAAAATGCGATCTCCTTCACGGATCCGGCCATCCCTGGCAGCAATGCTGTTTGGATCAACCTGCATAGGACAATATCCAGTAATTGAACATGGAAAGATTTTTACTGGGAACAGTAACAGCTGCACAATTTGAAAAAGTAGCATTTTTACTCTGTACAGAGGCAATCTGAAGTTTCCTTTACGGTCATATGAACTCAACAGTTCTTTAAATAATCGTATAAACTTGTTTCAGATAAAAGCCTAAAGACAGAAAGGGTTGGGAGCATATGATTTTCAGATTAATACTATCCTATGGTACCATCAGGCATTAACCTTCAGCTGTCAGAGCACTAAGAATTAATGACAGAGCCACTCTGCTCTGGAAGTTCACTATGGACTGAGGTGGTTCTGCAGCAGTTGATACCTCTATATAAATGGGCCTTGTCTTTGGGAAAGAAGCAGGTTTATTTCTCTTTCATGGAAACATTTACTATTAAATGATTGTCTCAGTTACCAATCTGTTACTTCCTCTGGAATTTTGCAGCTCGCAAGGAAACAGCAAAAAACCCCAAAGGATCTATATTGTATAGATCACTCACAGGTACTGTGTATCGTTCCTGGTCTGAGTCAGTTAATTTTAAGTTAGTTTAACCTAAATAGATGTTTAGGGCTCCATTAACAGTTTATCAAAGTCACTATAGCTCATCCCTGAGCAATGACCTACTGTTCATTGCAGGGCAATTCAATCTATCACCTTTCACTTGATGGTTATCTTAAATCATTTATTTTGCCTCGTCATGCCATAAGCTATTTTTTCAAACCAAACATTTGAGTTGAGCATTTGGTTTGTAGGTTATATCCTCTACAGCTGTTAGATATTATTTTTTTCTTGTGCATTATCGTAGAAAAAAGGATTCTGAAGTGCTTAATCAAGTACAAAAGACAATATAATTACATTCACTTAAAAAGGTCTGAGAAAGTTCTACCATGTAGGAAAACCAGCACATTTCAGATATAATCTTGAGGTGTATTAAGAGATTCCTGCACTTTTTTTGTCCTCACAAGGACAAACAGACTTTAACAGCAGTGCTTATACAACTGGTAGAAGACTTATTCTTGGGTAGTTTTATATTAATTCCTCATTCTTGTCCCAAGGCTGTGCTTTTCAGCTTCTTTGACATTGCTGCTGGCCTGTGAATGAGCAATCTTGTCTTCATCCCTGTTCAGATACGTAGGAGAATTCTCTCTGCTGATGCTCTCTGTTCATGAGCTTCACTCAGAACTTAGAATCATAGAATATCTCAAGTTGGAAGGGACCCGTAAGGATCATCAAGTCCAACTCCCTGCTCCTCACAGGACTACCTAAAACTAAACCATATGACTAAGAGCATCATCCAGACCACTTCTCTGGGGAGCCTGTTCCAGTGATCGACCACCCTTTCAGCAAAGAACCTTCTCCTAATGTCCAAATTTGGTTCAACATGTCACAAAAGCGACAAATTGGGAACACAGTTCACACAGGGCAGTCACCAGTGAGCTTGAACTCACCAGTGAGCTTGGACTCACAAGAGTTCTGCTTCATCCAGAACAACAAACCTCTTTGAAACGGCTGGAGACTCAAAGGGAGCTAGTGTGCCTGAAGTATTGTGGACTGACCCTGTGAAACACTAACGCTCTGTGACATGTGCTGGATGCCATGTTTTCCTGGTGAAGTCAATGAAAACTGAGGGTTCATCCCATCTCAATATCCAGTATTCTATTTTTTGTATGGGAAAAAAAAAATTAGTCTTTCTGACATATTCCTCTCCCAAGCTACTCTCTCCACCCACCTGTGGTATGTCTGTGCATACCAGAACTGTAACAAAAACACAAATAATAAAATAACAATTATCCACTGTTATGATTACCGAGGCTATGGCAGGGGGAGAATGCAAGCAGGGTGTGGAAAAGGTGCTTTTCTCTTTAAAATCTCTGCCTGATTTCCCACGTGAGGGCAGATTTCTTTCAAAATTCAGACCATGCTCAGACTGCTTTGTACTTCCCTAACTATGATGTTGTAGTTAAAAGCATTCAGATTAAAGAAGATCACTAGTAATAATTACACTGCTTGGGCAACATAATTTAAACTGATAATCTAAATGAATTGAAAGTGATGCGTGCTGGCTGATGGCTGACTCTTCTGCACTCTGGTCTCAGAGCACTTGGTCTTCCATTCCCTGGCACGTTCAGCCCTCCACCACAAGCATCTCCCGTGCTCCTCCCCATCGCCATGTGCTTACCTCGCTGACATAGATCCCTGTGTCCTCCTCGTCATCAGTTCTGTAACAGACAGTCAGCCCCAGCTTCTCCTGGCTGCTAATGCGGCACAGCTCCACCTCCTACAAGAAAACACACAGGCTCGTATGGTGGCTTTTGCCAAGGGTGGAAAAAATTGTTGAGCACCAAGCCGCTGACATACTCATACTGTAGGACATACTCATACTCATACTGTAGGACCTAGTCATACTGCCCAGTCTCGAGACACAATATTTTGTGTGCATCTTTAAGGGGGAAAATATTCTGTGAATTAAGAAGGAAATCCCAGTACATTGCAGGTTCAAGCTATATGGAAACAGTTCAGTAAAACAGGCCAAACTTTGAGAAATATAGCTGTGTGCATCGATTTTGCAGTTTTTTTGCTTTTGGATAATAGAAGCTGACTTACAGTATATTACATAGTCATTTTAGTCCTATCACACCAACTATTGATTTATAGGATATAAGACAGACTGGCTACGCATCAATCAATCCCTCACACAAGTGCCACTCCCTTCTAACAGCAATCCAAGCCATAAAGCAAAAACACAGCTTTCCATTAATAGCATAATTCCTTCCCTGGCCAGGTTAGTGCCGTAGCTTCATCGCAGAAGCTCTTAGATAACAGAAGGATGCTTCAAGGAATCTCCTGTGGAGCTGAACAGCCGTGGCATCCTCCTCAATTGTGAGATGATGCAGAAAACATATTTTTAGTGCCAGATGTCCCAGCAGTGGCATCTCATGAAAAGTGCAAGTTTTAGGGCAGATGGCAGTGATAACTACTACATACACCCATCTGAGTTAAGCATCTTTAGGGTTTCACGGGGGAATCATTCACAAAAATGCAAAGCTGCACTTGGTATGAACACTGTGAAACAAATAATTGTAATAAAGCACGATGAATCCAATAACACAGAGTATTAGCTTGGTTGCAAATGGGAAACTTTAGTTGATATATGTATTTAAAGGGAGTTTGCAGGTGACATTTGGAGCTTAACAGCTTCTGCTTCTCATGGCTGTGCAAAAAAATTAGAAAGCAAACCCCACGCTTCAGTTCTCAGTCTGTGATACAGAGCTCGTTCCTCCCCATCCCCAGAGATGTCGTGCAGATTAATCCATAAACAGGCACAGGGCGCAGAGCAGTGAGGACTTACTACTGCGTCCCATCGAGTTGTGGGGACCAGGTGTTGAAATACCACAACTTACAGAAAAACCTGCAGTTCACACACATAGGTTAGCCAATGAAGCCCATGCCATCTTCATTTCAGCTGAACATCTTTCACGAAGTGCACTATTGTCATGGTTTAACCTCAGCCGGCAACTAAGTACCACACAGCCGCTCGCTCACTCCCCCATAGTGGGATGGGGGAGAGAATCGGAAGGGGAAAAGTGAGAAAACTTGTGGGTTGAGATAAAGACAGTTTAATAGGTAAAGCAAAAGCCGCGCACGCAAGCAAAGCAGAACAAGGAATTCATTCACTCCTTCCCATGGGCAGGCAGGTGTTCAGCCATCTCCAGGAAAGCAGGGCTCCATCACACTTAATGGTTGCTTGGGAAGACAAACACCATCTCTCCAAACGTCCCCCCCTTCCTTCTTCTTCTCCCAGCTTTATATACTGAGCATGACGTCACATGGTATGGAATGTCCCTTTGGGCAGTTTGGGTCAGCTGTCCTGGCTGTGCCCCCTCCCAGCTTCTTGTGCACCTCCAGCCTTCTCAGTCGGTAGAGCATGGGAAGCTGAAAAGTCCTTGACTAGTGTAAGCACTACCTAGCAACAACTGAAACATCGGTGTGTTATCAACATTGTTCTCACCCTAAATCCAAAACACAGCACTGTACCAGCTACTAGGAAGGGAATTAACTCTACCCCTGCCAAAACCAGGACAACTACTATGGCTCGCTCCCCTGTTCCCTCACCAACGTGCACATCTACACGGGTTCAGTACCTGCATAAACCCTATAAACTTCTCCCTGGACTTTGGACATTCAATGTCTTAATGAAAACTAAGAAAATGTAGAAAATACCATGAAACCTGTAGTATTCTTTAGCTTTTCTTAAATATGGCAGGAGGTTTAAATCGGGGGGGAAGAAGTGGAAATAGTTGCCAGTACACATTATACATTGGGTTTGAAAGAAGAAACACGGGACCGTGTTTTATTAGGGAAGAGAATTGCAGTGACCTGATTTTGGCATTGGGAGTGAAAGTATGTGTACTGAAGGGAGGCCTATTCAAAACCCATAATAATTGATGCCTCCAGAGGGAAAGAACACTTGACTAGAACTGTAATATTAGGGAGAAATTACAGGAACAAAACGGCTTCAATTACAGCAACAAGGTATACTTTTAAGGAATAAAGAAGCCTGAGGTCCCTCGGAGGCCTATAAGGAAGCCTAAATACACCATAAAGGACTGAGACTGGGACCTTTAAATCAAGTCAAATGAGGAGCTGTGCACAAGCTGAAATCCATTGACTTTCATTGTCCTGCTGGCACAACCTCCTGTCTCCCTGTGCTGAGGCTGGACAGGGGCCCCAAGGACTGCTCTGAACATAATTTCTCCGGTCGGGAATGACCTTGGAAGTTCTTGTGGATGATTTGTCTCAAAATGTTACTACAAAGCTGTATGAATGTTTCAGGCTGCAAACAAACTGAATCCTTCCAGTGTGCTGGCTCAATGAGCAGAATAATTTAACCATTTAGGGCATGAAAGAGCAAAAGAAAATGAGGATGACCTAGAAGCTCCATCCTGGGAGTCCAAGAGGTTTGCTAAAACTGTCTCTGGGAACCAGCTGGTGACAAGTATCAGTGACTAATATCCTCTGACTGGGATGCACCAGCCCTGGCTGTGCATAGTGCTTGAGTTGCCACAGCTTTCGTTTCTCCTCCTAGTAACAGAGCTTAGAGCTGAGATCTGTAGTCAGTAGTCTTGAGACTACCTCTTACCTAAATGACTGTATGGGGTGTAGTCCGATGACTGCATAGTCTGATGACTGCGTATGGCTGTGGCCACTTAGAAGCTGTAGATACCTACGACTGAGATACTGGTACTTAGTGTTAAAGGCCCAATAAACATTTCATGTTTTTCAGTCTAGACTCAAGTACATACGTAAGTAATATCTCATTCAGCGTGAGGGAGAAGTTGGATGAGGTCTCTTGCCTTGCATTGGAAGTCATTCCAGTTAATTGCCTTTTTCCCACTGCACATCTGCACTACTAACCTCAGGGCATCTCTTTTTTACAGCAAACGTGATACATCCTGGTCACATTCAAACAAATCAGCGTTTACAACACATCTTTGGAAAATTTAAAAACACTTGGCATAAAATATTAAATCATCTCTCAGAGGAAAAGCCCACAAGTCCGATCTTTAGCTGTATATAACAAGCACATCTGAAACAACTTCAGAAGAAGAGCAGCAACTGAGACACTAGAGAACCTGGACCATCATGGTCAGAAGCATTTGACATTGCATTTTGCGACAGATGCCTTTTAGTGTTTTTTTTCCCAACTGGTCTTTAACAGAGGAAACAATAAGTTTGGCAGCAGTAATGAATTTGTAAGAATGTAATTTTGTTCTCTGAAATCCCTTTAGATACACACACACACACACGCACGCGCACACACACACATGTATAGTTGCTTTCTCTTTGGGTTTTGTGTGTGTGCATGTAGTGACTGAACTGACAGACTTCAAAATTCAGCATTTTAAAAATCTGTGAGAAACAATATTTGGGGATTCATGAAGTGTGCTGACAGACAGATGGTGGAAGGAGAGGGACTGAGGAGAGAGCTCGGGAGATGACAGCCTCCCCCTCTTTTGGGCACTCTGGGGGCAGCCGCCTCTCAACATGAACAGTATTCTGCTGCCAAGTGACAGAAATCAATGCCAAATCGCTAAATCTTTGACTTGCTTCTTTTTTTCTCTGTGTGGGCAGAACAATAATTCAGTGCATTGCCACAGTGAAGACAACAAAGTGTTTGCCATAAATTATTTGATTAAAAGATAGACATGGAAATTAGAATAAGGACTATCTTGAAAGGCTGGGATGCAAATTTCCAAGGTAGCTCATTTCTTCAGACATAGAAAAGACAGCAAAGAGGTGGAGGTCATGCTCTTGAAGGACTGAAAACTAGTTATATTGGTCATCCTCAAAGTGACGGAGTAGTGGCTGTAGCCTCTGGCTCCCATTCGCTTCAGTGATGGAAAACCAGTTTACAGGCTGTCAGCCTCAGGAGACATAAGACCAAACAAGGAGCTGTCACCTCTTTGGGGAGGGAAGGCTAGGTTAATACTGTCATTTCTCTCAAGTGGTAGAAAAGTAGATTATAAATGTCATCAACCGGGCTGTTGGCTTTCTAGAATTGCTGAAAAGAGGTTAAGAGCTATTAAAAAAGACTCTGTAAAAGTTCACATCAGTTTGCAGTTATAGTGGATCTTTCTACTAAAAGCTAGATTACAAAGAGTAAAGCTGATGGTCTGTTAGAAAACAGACCATGAACCCTTCAGTGACTGTTCTTAAACAGTCTTTTTGGGGCAAAAAGAGCTCTGAACTCTTCACATTTTCCCTCCACACACTGGAAAACAGATTACAGCCTAAGAAGGAAGTTGGTCAAGTCTCTTCTTGCTGCACCCAGAAGATGTTGACAAGAGGTATTCATCTGATGACCCTGTGCTGGAATAACTGCGCACATGGAAAGCTTACTCTGCTTCGTTTTTCTTTGCTGACCACTCTTCCAGTGGTGTCTGCTAAGCCATGCACACCTTTGAATCCTTCCCCCACTTTCTGTCAGGATTAGCTACTCCCTGTTCAACACTGTTCAACCCATTTACAGTGCAGCTGAGCTCTGCTCCTGCCTCATCACTGCCTGTCAGCCTCTCTCACCTCCATTCAAACCATCCCATCCTGGCACCCTGTTCCACAAACACAATCCTTCTGTCCTCACCTTCAAAGCCCTCCTCAGTTCACTCTTCCCCAAAGTAACCCCTCACCCGTATTCACAGACAGCAGCCTCACTCACCCTTTTCTCCTGTTTCCCCCCAAACATTTCCATTCTCAGTAAGTGCCCACATCCACACAGCC